AGGGTTCACGTAAATTCACCTTAGGAATAAAAAAAATCCTAACTATACTAGATAATAATAAAAATATATAAAACTCAAGATGGAGGTACCTTAGATACTCAAAATAAATACATCGTTGGCAAGTAGTCAAATATGTTTAAGTTTGATCAAAAACTAAAAAAGCGGTATCAATATTTGTATCTCCTAATAAGTTTATTACGAAAGTATACTCCATGCTTAATATAATAGTACCTATTATGTTTCATAAATATTAATACGCTATTAGGAGATAACAATAGTTGTTCTCCGTCGAGCAATAGTAGTTCGTTGTGCCTTTATTTAGGGCCGGAAGGGCTAATGCTCAATGAAAATAGCCTCGATGACCCTAGATGCTCCTACAAATGCTAGCACTAGCGCACCATCATCAACTCTTTTTGCGTACCGGCATTTCGAGGATTGCGAGGGCACGTGGGTACCTTAGAATAAAAAATCCTAACTATACTAGATAATAATAAAAAATATGAAATCAAGATGGAGGTACCTTAGAGCGGGCGACCTTGACGCGTCGGCATTCGTGGCGTGGCCGGCTAGGCGTGCGCGAAGCGGTATGGGCGCGGGCGAGGTGCCGCGGCATTATATATTAGGCGGCGCGCCCATCGATCGGATCGAGGCGGCAACCTTTGCACGCTGCCAAAGGTCGGTCGGTGGCGCGATAGGACCAGCCACGTCATCGGTCCCCCAATCTGGCCCTCGCCACGTCAGCCCTCTGCCGCGCCACCATGCATTGGCGCGGCCAAGCATTTGGCCACGCCAAGGCAATAGGCGCGGCCAAAAGTGTTAGTTTTTTTTAAAAAAATCCGACAGTGTTAGATTTAAAATTACATTAAAAAAAGGTTAAAATTAAAAAAAATTCTGGATTGCAGGAGGGGCGAGTTGCGGACGGCCACTTGCCCAATAAGCTTGCCGCAAACTAATTAAGCGGGTTTGTGGCTACCCACGAGCGCAACTGTGACCCTCCACCGTGATCCACCGGACTCTGTGGCTAATACAACAAACCCGCAAGGCCCGCAAAGCACACTAGCTAGATTTGTTGCTGCTACAAGCTCATCTGCAGCATCGTAAGGACTCGCACGGACATGGCAGCGAAGGAGCTAACTAACTCGCCGACAACCGCACCTCCGCGTGTGGAGTTCAGATCCTCTGATCTAGTAGCTGCTGTTGCTAATTGGTATCGCTGGACAGGAAGACCTCTGCGGCGGTCCGCCCTGCAGCCAGGTGCTCGTGGACGCCGTCGCCATGCGTGGACGGTGAGGTCGGCCGTGGCACCCGGGGCCCTGTAGCACCCAGAACTCTACATAGTCGCCACCGGAGAAGATGAACTCCTCGTCCTCCTCCGCGCCCACCACCCTGAGCTCCCAGCCGATGGGACCGCCAGCATATCGCCTGACGCGCGGGCCAGCTCCAGAACGAGATCAAGGAGCGGTTGTCACGCTGGATACTGGATATTCGACAGAGGCAGGACACAACCATCGTTGCGGGTTCTTGCGGGACGTTGCGGGCTTGCCTTATTGTCCAATGGGCTTCGTGGAACAGCACACATCATGCCGTGAAAATATTGCATCTGATCCGCATATGCCGGAAAGCATGATTTTGCGGGGCGGACATGCGGGTTCCAATAAAAACCCGCCCTGCTTGTAGCCATTTAGCCGTTAGGATCGGAGTAAAGGTCTCAGGTGAGCATCCATCGGTCCTATTCGTTTCGTCGTAAACGATCGTGAATTATTTATTGCTGGATGATTTGATATAAAAAAATATTATTCAACTTATAATATATGATTATATACGAGCAAACGAACATACCGCGTGACCGATCCGTTCCCAGCGACAGCTAGGCGCTGTTGACGCACTTCGAGTTGGGTTCTGCCAATTCGTACGACAGCTGTGCAAGTCGTACAACATCACGCAAGATCCTCGCTTGGCTTTGTTTAGCACTGGTTTAGTTGGATGAATTTGGATTTTGGGGGCTAATCTTGCGCGTTTGTTTTATTTGACAAATAAATGTTCAAACATGGAAAACTAATTGGCTTAAAACATTTGATGGGAAATTTCCCACCAAACGTTTTGAATTAGTTTTTATTTTGATTGATATTTAATTGTCAAATAAAACGAAATCCTATTCGATGTAACCAAATTCCAAAATTTCACAAACTAAACCAGGCCTTTTGTTTGTTTATACTAAACAAGTACTCGTACTACTTCAAACGTTTTTTAAAGACTTGCACACTGCACAGTACCCATCTTACGTGGCGGGAAACTCCATCAGCAGGAAATTAAATGTATGCTTCCTCGTTCGATTTAAAAAAAACTCTGCAATTCTGCATCACTGGCAGCTGTACGGCTGACCCAAGCTGATGAGCTCAAACGCACTTTTGTCCCTCAATACACCGTGTCGGTCCTGATATGAACAGGAAAGGTATTGAATATTAATTGCTAAATTAAAACGAAATGCTACAGTAACCAAATTCCAAAATTTCACAGAACTAATCCAGGCCTTTGTTTGTTTATACTACTGTTACTAGTACTCGTACTACTTCATACGTATACCACTGCAGACTTGGACACTGCACAGTACCCACCTGGCGTGGCGGGAAACTCCATCAGCAGGAAAGGAATGCAGGATGCTTCCTCGTTCGATTTAAAAATGGCCCTCTGCAATTCTGCATCACTGGCAGCTGTACGGCTGACCCAAGCTGATGTGCTCGTCCTAGCACTATTTGTCCCGTCACACACACCGTGTCGGTCCTGATATGAACAGGAAAGGTATTCAAATGTTCAACCACCAAACAAATGCATAAACTAATGCGCAAGACGCTCACATTCACCCGTTCAGTCGTTTATTTCAGTCAGACTTATTCAACTAATTAATAGTGTTTTTTTTTCACAACAAATTAGCATCAGCCAATCTAAACTAGTCCAGAAACCAACCAGCGAACAAGCCGATTGACATTAGCACAGTTGCGAGCATGTCATCCTATAAAGGCGCCGTTCGGTTTACCCCGAAGCCCCCCGTTCGGTTTCTTTTTTCAGACGGATCAGTATTTTTTCTCTCACAACAATTCAACCAGAACAGTATTTTTCGACCAGTTTCAGCCAAGTTTTAGCGAGGCAAACGGGGCCTAAAATGTGGGCATCCATCGCCAAAGTTTCCCCAGGCAGACAGACAAGCACAGCAGCAACATCACTCACTCATCCAGCTGGTACCACACACATTCATAGTACACGAAGAACCTTGCGTTGCAAACCATCGCCGTCCGTCGATCGCGTCCAAGGAAACCAAGAAACCAAGCGGCGTCTGGGAAGAACGAAGCCGGCCGGAGAGCTACTTATTATCAGCCATCATGGTGAAGACGGCGGCGGTGGCGAGCAGCAATGACGCCGCGGCGGCGTCGGCGGCGGCGAGGCACGGCGCCAAGAGGACGTACGGATGCGGAGCTGGGGCTCGTGGGTGTCGGAGCTGCTGGCGCCACCGCCACAAGACGCGGATATGGCTGGGATCCCACTCCATCGCCGATGCCGCGGCGTGGGCCTACGACGCCACGCTGCTCTGCCTCAAGGGCTCGGCGGCCGCGGCTGACCTCAACTTCCCACTCCGCCTCCCGTTCGACCTGCCCCCCGCCGGTGCCATGTCGCCCAAGGCCATCCAGCGCCACGCCCTTAGCGCCCTGCGCGGAGAATAATAATGGCAGCGCCTGTACCGACGGCGACGGCGACACCACCCCGGCGTGGAGCAGCAGCTCGCCCGCCCGATGACGCCGCCTCCTCCCGGAGTCCACCGTCAGCAGCGAGAGTGATCTGTTAGCTAAATTGTTGCATCATTCTGTTAGGATCTTGTTCATTGTCATGCATTAGTCAGGTGCAGGTTGAGCGTGGCCAGAGGCGTGCTTGGTCCACGAACACAACCTGGGTCGGTCAATTTGTTCAGCGTCATGTTGTGTGCTGCGGCACGTGGTGCATGCCACAGTGAAAGCGCGGTGCGCGCGGTGTGCAGCAACGTGGCGCGAAGTCCGGGATACTGGAGCTGTTCCGTGATCCTATTGTATCAGCATATAAATAAAATGAAAGACGACCGTGTGGGGCTACGATATTGGCAGCATATATTTCTCTTGTTCGTTGTTCTCGCATTTTCAATCTACCCCGCTCTCGCCGTAGTGACTACGTTGCCGTTGCGCCGCCATTAACACAAGCGCGAGCTCCAGGATCAAGCCTAGTTCCAACACGTGGTATCAGAGCCGTAGGTTGTTGAGAAGGAGGCGTGTGGTGGCGGTGAGTAGCTGCTGAAGACGTAGGGTGGACAGATCCACCAGAACGAAGAAGAAGGAGGTGTGAATTGGTGTCGCCGGAGATGGGCACGTCGAGAGAGAAGGAGTCCATGGATCGGGCATTCAATCAGGCTGCTGGAAACCTCGTGTGGCCAATGCTTACCCGAACCAATTATCAAGAGTGGTCTTCCCACATCCAATGCAACTTGGAGGGCATGTACCTATGGGATGCAGTTGAATCTGACAAACCTGAGAGACGTCGAGATCGGTTGGCTCTTGGAGCCATGCTCCACTGGCGTACCTCAAGAAATGCACTCGATGCTCCTGAACAAGAAGTCTGTGAAGGAGGCATAGGAGGCGATCAAGACGATGCGTCTTGGTGCAAATCGCGTTAAGGAGGTGAACGCTCAGAAGTTGCTTGGGGAGTTTGAGTCAATCTCGTTCAAGCCGGGAGAAACAATAGATGATTTTGCCATCAGGATCACAAAGTTGGCAACAAATCTGAAGGGCTTGGAGAAATGAGTGTTGACGACTCACGGGTGGTGAGGAAATTTCTCCGTGTCGTGCCATCGTGCTACAATCGGTAGCGGTGGCCATTGAGATGTTCAGTGATCTGAAAACCCTCACGATCGAGGAACTGGTGGGGCGGCTACGGGCGGCAGAGGAAAGGGTCGAGCCTACAGTGGAACAGGTCATGGAAAGATGGCCAAACTCCTCTTGATCGAGGAGGAATGGGCGGCGAAACACAAGAGCCGTGCTGATCCGGACTCGTCATTTGGGTCTAGAAGCAACGGCCGTGGCCGCTACGTCAAGAAAGACAGGTCTGGGGCACGCGCCGGCGGTGAAGGGCGTGACTCCGGTACAAAACTCACGTCGATGGGTACACCACGACGGAAGGGAAGGTGTCGTAAGTGTAACATCTATGGGCACTTCGTGAAGGAGTGCAAGACGAAGCCACAAGGTGAGGAGCGGCAGGAAGCTGCACACCATGCGAATGCTGATCAAGAAGGCGCCCTGCTGGTGGCGTAGGTCTGTAATATCGTGCGACGGTCACGCTGGGTGAGCAACGTGTGTTCCTGAATCAGGAACACGTGTTCCCGACGGAATATAACGAAGGCACATGGGTACTTGACATGGGCGCCATGAATCATATGACTGGGTGTCGTGCCTTGATGGCAACTCTGGACGAGTCGGTTCGGGGTGCAGTGAGATTCGGTGACGGATCGACGATGGAGATTCACGACATTGGAGCTGTAGCCATTGCCGAAAAGAACAACGATCATCGGGTGCTCACGGAGGTATATTTCATCCCATCCCTAAAGTGCAATATTATTAGTCATGGTCAACTTGAAGAAGGGGGGTGTCGTGTCGAGGTGGACCATGGTGTCATGACGGTGTTTGAGAGACGCCAGGTTGATGGCAACAAGCTCAGTGTGTTGATCCGTGCTGAGAGGAAGAATAGGTTGTACATCATGAGGCTGAACCTGGTCTCTCTAGTTTGTCTGCTATCCAAGATGGATGAAGAAGCCTGGTTGTGGCATGCACGCTATGGCCACCTGAATTTTAGGTCGCTACGTGACCTAGGTGCCAAGGAAATGGTGGAAGGGATGCCACTGATACGGCGGGCTAAACAGGTGTGTGATGGGTGTGCACTAGGCAAGCAGCATAGAACTCTATTTCCCAGAGCGTCTGAATACCGCGCCAAAGTTGGACTTGAGTTAGTTCATGGTGATCTGTGTGGGCAGATAACACCACCTACACCGGGTGGGAAGTCATATTTTCTACTAATTGTGGATGACCACAGCCGTTTCATGTGGTTGGAATTGTTGACATCAAAGGATGAGGCGCTGGGCTATTTTAAGAAGTTCAAGGTGGCAGCAAAACTTGAGTCGGGGCACCGGCTCAAGGCTTTCAGAACGGATCATGGAGGTGAATTCAATTCGCGCGCTTTCCTGGTGTACTGTAATGAACACGGAATCCGGCGCAACACCACCACAACCTATACTCCCCAACAGAACGGGGTCGTTCAGCGGCGCAACCAAACCGTTGTTGAGATGGCGAGGTGTATGCTTAAGAGCATGACAGTGCCGGGGAAATTCTGGGGAGAAGCAGTCAAGGCTGCTGTGTACTTGTTGAACCGCTCACCGACAAAAAGTTTGAACGGACAAACCCCGTTTGAAGCCTGGTATGGATGAAAGCCAAGTGTTCGGCATCTGCATACTTTTGGTTGCAAGGCCTATGCAAAGCGCACGGTGCCGGGGATCAGCAAGCTGGCAGATCGGTCCACACCGGGTGTGTTCTTGGGATATGAACAAGGAACGAAAGGTTATAGGGTGTATGATCCCGTCAATGATAAGTTGATTGTGACCAGGGATGTGATCTTCGACGAGAAGCATGGATGGAATTGGGAGGTGAGAGCAAGCAGGGAAACAACGCTGGCGCCTGAATTTTCAGTTAAGTATGCTGATGAGTTTTTGGACGGCACTATTCATGGTCCGGCAATACAGTCAGGGCCAGTTGCCGATTCTAAAAATGGAGCCACTGAACCAACTTCGCCTGCAGCTTCAATTCCATTAGGTGGAGGAGCGTCTACGGCATCACCATACACGCCTAGATCATCTGTGGGATCAATACCGCAAATACAGTGGGCTACACCACCGTCAGATGCATCTGAAGGAACAGATGAAGCACCGAGGAGATACAGGACTTTACCTAACCTGTTCGACAGTACTGATGAGGTTTAGGGTTTTGAGTATAGTGGCCCGTGTCTGATCGCTTCAGAAGAACCAGCTACTGTTGAAGATGCATTGTCAGAAGATTGTTGGCGTCAGGCAATGGAGTCTGAGATGAAAGTAATCCAGGATAATCAAACTTGGGTAGTCAGTGACTTGCCGGTCAAACAAAAGGCTATAGGCCTCAAATGGGTGTTCAAGGTTAAGAAGGATCTAGAGGGAAATGTAGTGAAACATAAGGCACGATTGGTGGCAAAGGGCTATGCACAACGCCAGGGAGTGGATTTTGATGAAGTCTTCGCACCAGTTGCAAGAATTGAGACAGTGAGGGTGTTATTGGCACTTGCAGCACAAAGTGGATGAGAGGTACACCACATGGATGTCAAGTCGGCATTCCTGAATGGAGATCTCACTGAAACTGTATATGTTCAGCAGCCTCCTGGTTTCAGTGTGGGCAACAATACTAAAGTGCTTAGACTGAAGAACGCACTTTATGGGCTTAAGCAGGCACCTAGGGCCTGGAATGCTAAGTTAGACAAGGAGTTGATATCTCTGGGTTTTGTGAGAAGTAAACTTGAACATGCAGTGTATAGAAGAGGCAACAGAAACTCCTTCTTGCTGTGGGGGTGTATGTTGATGATCTAATTATCTCAGGGCTAGGTGTCAATGACATAAGGCAGTTTAAATTGGAGATGAAAAAGAAATTCAGCATGAGTGATCTTGGTCTTCTCAGCTACTATTTGGGAATAGAAGTCAAGCAAGGAGAAGATAGAATCACCCTAAGTCAAAATGCCTATACAGTTAAGATATTGAAGTCTGTAGGGATGTTGAACTGTAACCCGTGTGCAACACCCATGGAGGCAAGGCTCAAGTTAAGCAAGAAGATGGAGGATGAAGTTGTGGAACCAATCGCTTACGTAAAGCATGATTGGAAGTCTCAGTACCTTGTCAACACTAGACCTGATCTTGCATTTGCGGTTGGGGTTGTCGATGAGGTTCATGGAGGCTCCAAGCCGGAACATTGGGCTTTGTCAAGCACATACTTACACACAAAAGGAACAATCAAGTATGGCTGCGCGGTATATGGGCGAGGCAATCGAATTGAAACCCATTTTGCTCGGGTTCGATGATAGTGACTTTGCTGGAGATTCGAAGACAGAAGAGTACTCTTGGTGTGGTATATTTTCTTGGGAAGAACACGATCACTTGGGCATCACGAAGCGAGAAAATGGTAGCTCTCTCTTCATGTGAGGCGGAGTATGTGGCAGTGCAAAAGCAGCAGACTTGTCAAGGAATATGGTTGAGCCGACTAATTGGTGACTTGATGGGAACAAAGGAGGCGCCTGTTAAACTCCTCATGGATAATATGTCTGCTATTGCACTGAGTAAGAATCCTGTGCACCATGACAGGAGCAAGCATATTGATACAAAGTATCATTTCCTGCGTGAGTGCATTGAGGAAGGGAAGGTGGAGGTGGATCATGTAGGCATTGCTAATCAGTTGGCCGACATCTTCACAAAGTCACTCGGGCATATCAGATTTATGGAGTTGAGGAACGCTTTGGGCGTCGTCGAGCTGCAACAAGTTTAGGGGGTGTTTTGTTAGCTAAATTGTTGCATCATTCTGTTAGGATCTTGTTCATTGTCATGCATTAGTCAGGTGCAGGTTGAGCGTGGCCAGAGGCGTGCTTGGTCCACGAACACAACCTGGGTCGGTAGATTTGTTCAACGTCACGTTGTGTGCTGCGGCACGTGGTGCACGCCGCAGTGAAACGGCGGTGCGCACGGTGCGCAGCGTGGCGCGGGGAGTCCGGGATACTCGGAGCCTGTTCCGTGATCCTATTGTATCAGCATATAAATAAAATGAAAGACGACCGTGTGGGGCTGCGATATTGGCAGCATATATTTCTCTTGTTCGTTGTTCTCGCATTTTCAATCTACTCCGCTCTCGCCGCGGTGACTACGTTGCCGTCGCGCCGCCATTAACACAAGCGTGAGCTCCAGGATCAAGCCTGGTTCCAACATGATCTCTCCGGCGACGTGGACTACAGCTCGCTCGCTGACATCGACGCCTTCTTCCAGTCGCTCAAGTGCATGGACTACGCCCTCATGGACCCGTGCAGCGCCTTCTTTGCGCCGGCGACGATGGCCACCGACGACGACGGCTGCTGGGAGGACGACGGCGGCATTGCGCTCTGGAGCTTCTCCACTCTCGACTGCTGATCCAAGTGGTGTCAGGGAAGCGGAAGCAATTCAGACAAACAGTTACTGACAAATCGCCGATCAAGTGACCAAAAACTGGTTGCTTCATCAACGGCACAAATTCCATATACATGATATGATGATAATTTAATTCGATGTATGTATACATTCTTAATAAGCTAATTTTTAAGCATTGTAGCGGGGAGCTCTCATGGATGGAGCTACATGTTTTAAGGTAGCTTCCATGCATGAAGTTAACCTCTTTACTATTGCTTGTTTAATTATGAGTAAAAACAACTTTATTAGCAGTATAATTGCACAAAGAAATTGCTCTATCCCCTTTTTGTTAGGGAAACACATAACAAAAGCAAGCTTTCTGGGCTTGTCAGGGTGAGTTGGCGCTCAATCACTAGTGGAGGGACGGACTTTACTCTCGGTGGAGTTCCCCTCTAGTCCCGGTTCCCCACCCGGGAGTAAGCATCCGGGACTAAAGGGGCTCCTTTAGTCCCGGGTCGGGAACCACCTTTAGTCCCGGTGCATAACTCCAACCGGGACTAAAGGTCCTCCCAGCTTTAAAAAAAATAATGCCTCCCACCGTTGCGTCCCGTGAGATTCGAACCCAAGACCTCATGCATTGTCTCGCGCGTAGCTTACCACCCCATCTACACAACACATCTAACAATAGATGGGATGCTTCCCTTTTGAACTAACCCATCGGGGGACCTTTAGTCCCAGTTGGTGTTACCAACCGAGACTAAAGGTTGGAGGACTTTTAGTTCCGGTTGGTGGCTCCAACCGGGACTAAAGGTCCCCTGCCACTGTGCCGAGTCGCAGTAGCCGTTGGGCTGGGACCTTTAGTCCCGGTTGGAAACAACAACCGGGACTAAATGTCTCTCTAGTCCCGGGCGCAAAAAATGTCAGGATTAGAATCCATTTTAACCTCGGATGAAAGATCTGTTCTCTGCCAAGTGAATGGTTCTCACGAACTCATCCATGATTCCTTGCGAACCTCCAAAATGCTGGATGATTATTGGCTCGAATGCAGCCCTAGCTGCGAGTGCCCTGATCTTTGGGGTCCGCAGGCTTTTGTCTATACCACTCATGAGTTCGTGCACCTGAATGTTGTTGATCTCGAAGGACCCTTCATCTTGTATGATCTCTATTAGCTCCTTATCTGATGTCCCATATAGTGGTATGTAAAATGAATCTAACATTTCTCTGCTGATCACACCCTGCTAATCAGAAATACAATGTGTGTTATTTTGCTTGCAAAAATACAATGTGTGTACTTCACCCAATCACATCGCAGCTAGCAGTGCTTGGTGGACTAATCTGGCACACACTCACACATAATGCATAAAAAAAAAGTTTTGAGAACACTCGTTATTCTAACTAAGTCCATCAAGCCTGCTCCTGCACGCGGGCTAACATCTTAGGAGACGAAAGTATTAGATTTTACTGTTTAATGCATATGAGGCTATGACTAGTAAAATTACTTATATTAATTTGCACATTTTTTTTTCTCTTTATTCATTTTCTAACACTACTGATATAATTAATAGATACTATGTAGTGACTATCTAGTTCGATAAACTTATCAACTAATGATCTATTTGTTTTTTCATACATATAATTACTTTCTTTTCCTTTGTAACACAAAACTATGCATTTGAATATGCATTTAGTTGAAAACTTAGCTTAAACTATGAATCTATATTTTGATTTTCAAATCTTGATCTTATGACTTGCTTATTGTATCTTTTATTAAAATCTCCTTTTTATATTTTATTGAAAATAAAGATTTAAGGTTGTAAACTGCACTAGTCATATGTAGTATAATGGCATCACGATTATTTAAAGCTGCACCCATGTCACTAAGATCAATGGTAGAGGTTGAAGTACGATATAAGACGGGTAGCGGTGCGAACCTCAAGAGGATATTAATATTTAAGCCTTATAATCACACTTTACACGAATGAAATCTCAAACAGATGGTTATGGGTCACCTTTGGTCTATGCTAACCTCCTCAATTTCACAAGCTTTTGAATTTTCTTATCAAAGAATAATGTGTGTAATAATATTTATCTATTACAAAAATAAAGTTTTTACAATTATACTATCATGTCAAACACTTTAGTTAAATGTATAAATTTGACTAAAATATCAACTCTATAAATTATATGTCATGGTTATAAATATAATTTTTAAATATTTGTCAATATTGTTAGGATATGAGTTGTTAAGGAAATATTTTTCATAATCACTAAAACATAACACATATATTTATCACCCGCATGTCTACTTCATTTGCACAATGGCACAACATATATGTTACTTTAGTTATATATATATTAATAGAAGTGGGTAATATAGAAACATATATGTGGCAGAACTGCTCGAAATAGCACGCTTACGGAGGTGCTCGTCTTCCACCAGACACTAAGCACCTCGAAAACAAGCTACCGCGAGCGGTAGCCATCGAGCACACCCCAAGGGAGAACCCGAAAGATCCACATTTTCCCAAAGATCTAATAATGAGAACGAATTACAATACAAGTCCATTTCATACATCCGAGATTCTTAAAAAGTACATTATTATATTACCAAATGTCAGAGTGCGGAATGATAAACATCGGAATTTAAATAAACATCTAGCGATAGGAGCGAGGATTCCGTTTGAGCCCACCAGAAGAATCCTCCACACAAAGGTACTTCTCAAGCATCACATGCAACAGGGGTAAATAAACCCTGAGTACACAATATACTCGCAAGACTTATCTGACTAGTGGGAATAATTTCCCGACTCCAA